CAATTTTTACAAAAAGTACCTCTCTTCACTTTTTCCATACCTAAGGTTATCAATAGTGTTAAGGTTATCAATAGTGCCACCAACCAATCAATAGTGCTATCAATGGTGCTATCAATGGTGCCACCAAATTATCAAAGGCTCCGTTTTTTCTGTTCCTACCCCAACGGTGCTAATATATAAAAGGTCCTTCCTTCCCAGGGATGGGGAAAAATAAATAGGTTGCCTAGGATCTGGTAGTAGTGATAACTCTATCCGTCTATGGGATGTCAAAACAGGATAATAAAAAGCCAAATTAGATGGTCATGAGCATTGGGTAATGTCAGTCTGTTTCTCTCCTGATGGAAATATATTAGCTTCTGGTAGTGATGATTAGTCTATCCGTCTATGGGATGTAAAGACAGGAAACGAAATTTCATCTGCTGATAAAAAATATAAAGATATTCTTGCTGAATTCAAAGCACCACAATTTTCAAATATACTTCTGCCAGGTATTTCATTATTTATTACTTTTTAGAATCCAACATTATTACAATTCTAAGAATATCTTAAACACCACTATTCCAAGCGCAAGGAGCATTAATCTTGAAAGGAGAATTTATCAATTATGAGGGATACGATCTAAGATCATTATTGAAATCCAAAGGTAGTTGCTTTTTGGAAGACCTTAAGTAAAAGTGATAATTATTATTCATAAAGAACATTACAACAATTATTATTTTAATTTATTCTTCATATTTTTTTAATTATATCTTTTTTTTTGGCTTTATTCATAATTTTGATTAATCAAGATTCATACAAGTTTTTCAAATATTCCATTTTAAGGAAATGTATTGAGATCTCCTTAAAAAAAACTGATATTAATTAAAATTTATAGAGATTAATGTTAAATGATACTACATTAAATTTATAATCCAAACAGAGAACAGTAAGCTAAATGAAGAGATTAAAATAAAGATTAATTTTAATCACTTAATTGAAACCTAAATTAACAAAACAGCATGATTATTTCATAAGATATTCTGATAATTTATTTAATTTATTACTATTTATAAACATAAGTCTTAATAGATATAATTAATAATTTTGTAAAATTAGTTTATAATAGTAAAAGATATATTAAATAACAAAGATATGACAAGAATGAAAAAAAATATAGTTAATCTTCTAAACTATATAACAAAGTTAAAACAATATGATATTGATTAATTTTAACATTACTCTCAATTCAAGATAATGTATCAATCANACATCCCATAGACGGATAGACTTATCATCACTACCAGAAGCTAATGTATTTCCATCAGGAGAGAAACAGACTGAGTAACACAATCAAAATGTAAGAATTATAATTATTTTTAGATAAATTTGATGCTGGATTACATGTTATTTTGAATGTAAATAATGGTGGCCACTATGTGTCGATGACATCATATTCAGGAGACACTTTCAATTTTAATGATCCTGGATATTCCAGATCAAACATATTCAGCTAATGAAGTTAAAGAGGCAGCTTATTATGTCCATAGTAAAATCACCTATTTTAAGAATCATGTCTTAAATATTTGAGTAATTGATTTATATAAAGATAATAAGAATATTCCTAAAGAAGATGCATAATGATAATAAATATAAATTTTCTATATCGTAAATAATCAAAAAAAGATCATGTTATTCATTTATAATTTTGGTCTTTTTTAATAGAGCATTTCATTATAATGTATGAATTGATAATAAAATTTCAAATGATATAATTTCTTAATAATCATTTAGAGATCAAGCATTCACTTTACTTTCTTCTTTATGAATAATTATTTTATCATTTTATATTTATGTAAAAAACAATCATTAATTTCTAAATATTATTAGGTATTCTTATTATTTTGTAAATCAGAATTTTCAATAATAATAATAATTAAATCAAGTTAGTTACTTTCAAACTAAAACAAGATTATAAAATAATTCTAAATATATACTTAAGGAATTTTTAATAATTCATATAAAATTCTCGTCTATCACACTTTATAAATTATCTAAACTCTTGAAATTTAATATTCAAAACTTCAATTTTTTGATTCCTTTCATTTTTGGTTTAAATCATTTATACTTTGTCCTTTCATCTTATGTAGAAGGATTAAATGAGTAATAACAATATTAAACATATCCATTCAATAGTGGGAGGTAGAACTATAATAAATTTGATGATTTTAGTTATGGAGTTTGGAGCAAATACCTTCCTTTAAGTACAATTTTCTAAGTTGGATTAATAGGAATGTTTGATAGTCCCTGCTTTCTTTAAAACTCTATTATTGAAAATACAAATAAAGAAATTAACTTTCTCTATTATGATTGTGTTGATCAATAAACTAATACTATTTAAAAGAAGGTTTAATTTCTAAGTAGTGATAATTAAATGCACAATTATAAATATGAAATTGATCCTTTAATGTATGAAATTATTGGTATTTTTTGGACTGAATATAGGAAGAAAGTCTTGGATTTTTTATATTTTAAGGAGAAATTTTAATAACAAGTTAACAATTAAATATTTAAGGTCCTTTTAAACATTAAGATTCAACAATAGTTATAGGAGGAGGTTTAATTTTATAATACAAAAATTTATTTACTTTATAGAAGAATTATAAATACTTTGGATTCAAGAAATTTAAAAGTTTTCTTATTTTCCTGGAAAATTGGCAATATTACACCCAACTAAAGAAAATCTTTAAGAAAATTATGAGAGATTTGATTATTTCAAGAGTTACTCAAAAAAATGTACAATCCAAAATGCATTAGCTAAACTAATTCAATATAAAATTTACCAGATTTAGAAATTTCCAAATTAAACCTTGAGTATTTGCTTCAGAAAATTTAAATTGTGATGAATTTTAACTTTAAACTTGGATCCAAATTTCAAATATTCGTTAAGAAGTTTAATCATTTATTTATTAATTGTTAAAAATATCAGAAAAATTCTAAAACAGTTATGCTAAAAATGAAAATTTATCACCATTTTAATTATTCTATGAATTTTCAAATTCAAAAATTAGATTAATTGTGACTACATATAGCTTTGTATTTCCACTTGTTGATTATGATTTTAAGAATTAAATTTTTTTTGTAAATAAAAGAATGGACTATCAATAATATTAAATTATGGCATTTCTTATATGTTTCTTTGAGTTATAATTTACTTTAAATAACAATTAGATTTTATGAAGGATTAGATTAAATCCTATATGAAACTCAATTTATAATTAACTAATTCTATGAAGTATATATTAAATTATAATTTGGAAATATATTACAATCATCAACTAATTATTTGAGTGGAATTTTAAAAAATATGAAATTTAGTAATTCAGCATCAGAAGGTGATATTTTCAATGGTTGTAATCATAGTTGCAAATAATGTGAAGGTCCTACAAATCAAGATTGTTTATCTTGTTCAGAAGAATCAAAACGAATCTATATTCCATAATTTAAAGTATGTTTTTGTCCTTTTGATTATATTGATGATCTAGAGCGTAAGAGTATGGAAAACTATAATTTACTACTTGATCCAGAATTTGAATATAATTCAATATCAAATTGCCCTTAAGGATATTTTAATAAAGATGAATTTTGCTTAAAATGGTAAGTCATTTCTATATAAATTTAGCCCTTCTTTTTTAAAGGATACTTTAATGACATGTTTGGAATTTATTTAAAATCCTAAAGGTTGGCAAAATGATCCATATTGTTATACTAATCTATTTATTGATACACTTGGAAGTCCTGCACAATATAAAATTGATAATCTAAAGACATATTATATATTTGATGGAATTGATATTAAGCCATTGTAATAGGTTTAAATCTGGATTAGGATCAATTTGATTCAGTATACTTAGCTTTTGAAGAGACAAATTAGAGTTTTCTAAGATTTTTCTCTTCTTCAAACACATATTTAGCTAGTTATTCTTGTACTATTGAATAATGTTAAATTTATATAATGTTAATTACAAAATAAATTTGCTAAAAATGTTCAAATATATCTAGATTAAGAAATGGAAGATGTGTAGAAATACTTCGTGGGGTCATTAATAAAAATAATTGCTTATTTTTTATTACAAAACATCTGAAAATATTTGTAATTTATGTGAGATAGAGAATTGTTAATTTTGTTTTGAATATGTAAGTAATGATTTAACTAAATGTACACTCTATAGTGAATTTTAACTCTTTTAAAAAGATGAGTTTCTGAAAATAGGTTGTGCATTATGTTTAGATGGATTCATATTTGACTTTACATTAAGTAACTGCTTTTATAAAGAATCACCATTACCCAATTGTTTGAGCTATTTTATTAACCCATTAGGTTAATAACTGTATACTTTATCAGCTATTTAAGACTTTGGAGTCCCTCCAGAAATAACAAACTGTTAAAGATATATATCTAATTGTAAATAATGTATTTAAACACCTTATTCGATTGTAAAATTTATAATTTGTGAAGACGGATATTCGAGTTCCCTAATAACTGGACATTGTACAATCTGTGAAGAAGAATATGCAAAAATGTGTATAGAATGAGATTATACTAAATTAGATGCTTGGATGTAACAAATCTGAAGTTTTTTAATGTAATTTCTACCAAATAAGTATATGTATCCAAAGTCCTCAAACTTGTAATATATAAAACCTCTTGCAATCAAATGTATAGATAATTATGCAATGAACCAAAATTTCTGGAGATTATATTTCGATTTACATTGTTTTACTTGTTAAAAGGAGGAATAACCAAATAAAGGATTTACTTGTATTAAGTGTATTCAGGATTATTATATGGAACCTTTAAGGTCTATAGAAAGAGGGTCATGTATTACTTGCCCTTTGCTATGTTAGGTTTGTGAATAAATTACAACATAAGAGAGTTAAGTATGAAATAGATAACAATTTTAGAATATTAATCCTGCATATGAAATAAATGATTACAATAGAAAGTATACTTATAAATGTATTCAAAAAAGGCAAGATTAAAATATCATTATTGATCCTTATTAATAAATAGCTAAATATTGCATAAATGATATTTGTGACAATCTTATTTAATATTAAGTATATTTAAAATGATAATTAGATAAACAATAATTTTGAAGATTTGAAAGTAATATTTGATGGATAGAGGCCTTTTTCTGATGAATTTTATTTTGAATACTTAAATCATATTGGAGCATAAATATTTAAGTTAATCATTCCTATTCAAAAATTTTGTAACTCAGATGAAATAATTGTATAATCATTAACTAACTAATTAAAAAAAAGAATTTTTTCCTTATTTTGGGTAGAGTTGACATTTCTAGGCAATCACTCTCCATCAACTTATTAACCAATAATAAAAATCAAAAACTTTGATTCTATCAGTTTCAACTAACTATTATTTATTATATTGTAATCCTTGGAATTATTTATACATAATTATGATGCTCCTACTAATTCAATACTTACTGATTCTAAATTTATGGCAAATAATTAAGATTAACTAAAATTATCAATTTAAACAGAATAATGTCACTATTTTGAGATCAGAAATATCCGATTAAGTGACATAAATATTGTAAATTCTGTTGTTTTAAATTAAAATTGATTCATTGAAATTACTAAACTTCACATTAAGAAATTGTAATTTAACTCAAACTACTCTTTTTTAATTTTATGATTTTCCTAATAATACTATTAATTTAAAATTTTTAAATTGAAAATTGCTAATTTTTTAACTCAACAATTTTTAGTTTTATATAAGATATTAAAAAATAATCTATGATAAATATTAATAATTTGATAATTAAAGAATCATTTATTTAAAACTCACTATTAATTAATGGCACATAAACTTATTTATTTAAATTTGTTGAAGTTTATTATCAGGTATTTGAATATAAGAGATTCTTAAATATTTTAGACATTGCTATTTTATAAATTATTATCAAATTCATAATCAAATAGTTTATCAATTGATTAATTTGATATTTCAAATAATATTCTAATTAATACTTCTCTTATTTTTACAGAATAATAATCAACACTTAATTAAGTAGTAATTAAATTATAAAATATTCATTTCTTTAAAAATAGTATTCCAAATGCTTATAATTCATCTGCTTATCTATTTTACATTATTTGTATTAGCCTTTAGATAAAGAAATTTGAAATAATACAATTTATTAATTCGTAATCAGATGAGATAGAAGATTTGAAGATCAGCTAACTAATTGATGAGTACAAAGTAAATAAATATATTTTGAACCGAATGTGTAAAATCTTTAAAATAAGTATCTTCATATATCATCAATCATAAATTATTATATTAAGGTTGAAATGTTCCCATAAAAATAGCATGGATATTTGAACAAATTTTGCTTTTATCAAGTCAAAAGGGGTCTTTAATACATATTTAAAGTAAACATTCTCAAAACAAGATAAAATTAATTTAGATATTAATATCAAATAATAATTGTTTAGAATGTTGGAATGAAATAATTTAATTTGATTTAATAAAATATTATCAGTATATATTCAACAGTTATATTGTCTTAAGAATAATATAAGAAATTTTGGATGCATATTTGCTAAATCTTAAAATTAATAAGAATCATAAATAAAGATTAAGAATTCTATATTCAATATGAATATGGGAAATTTAGGTTCAGCAATTATGGCTGAAAATATAAGAATTAATCTTGTAAATTTGAAATTATTAAATAATATTGCAAGCTATTAAGGAGGAGCCTTGTATTTTTCAAATAATAACAATTAATTTAAAATATCTCAAACAATTCTTTATAATAATAAAGTTAATAAGGAGGAGGAATTTACTTATCAGGTAATAGTAAATTAAATTAAGACAATTTTATAAAATCATGGATGAAACTGAATTCAGCAACTCTCTTACCTAATAATCTTTAAGAAATGCCAACTCATTTATCTTTATCAATTAATAATCTTGAGATGAAAACTATTTAGAAAAAGATATATAATAAAACANTTTCTCCTTAACAGGAAATAATAATAATTCGTAATAAAGTTCTTTATACATATCTCATTTAATTTCAGAAAGAAATGTATTGACCAATTCAACAAATTCCTTTATTTATATCAGTAAGAATTTAGTCTGAGTTAAAAATTTTGTATTAATAGTCATAATTAATTAATCTAATCATTTTGGAATAAATAATTTAACATAAATATATAAGAAAATTTTAATTAAGATATCATCAATTAATTGATTAATAAAGTATTTAAAATTTAAAATAAAGGAGGTGCCCTTGCAATAACAACAGAACATTTTACAATAAATAATTGTTTTTTTCAGGATATATTTGCTTAAAATAGCTCTATACTTGATATTGTTACTGAAGGCTTAGGTAAAGTAATCATAACAAACTGTTCTATTATATAGGCATCCAATATTTTCTCTTAAATTGGAGAGAATGATGGAGCCATATCAATATATTCAAAAAATAGTCTTTTAGAACTTAAATTTCAAAATATAACCTTTAAAGAGATATAAAATAGATTGACATCATCAATATTATCAGTTGTTCCATCATTTAAGTCTAATTTAATTATATTTTAAAATATCGTCATTTAAAATTGTTTCTCTTAAGTAAATTAGTTTATAAAATAGAGTTTTAACTATTAAATCTTAAATGAAATAACTATCTATTAAATTTAGAAAATAACATATGATAATGCCTTTATTAATTTATAAGGATGTAATTTAAGAATTAATAATTTTACGTTTCAAAGCATTTATTGTCTTCGATTCTAAAAGTTTTAGATACATATACTTTATAACTAGCAAACATAATTATATTTGAGCTTTAATCAATTTATTAATTAACATGATTCATATTGGATAAACGAATTCCATATAATTTTGAGTTGTTTTAACATCAATCATAAATTATTATATTAAGGTTGAAATGTTCCCATAAAAATAGCATGGATATTTGAACAAATTTTGCTTTTATCAAGTCAAAAGGGGTCTTTAATACATATTTAAAGTAAACATTCTCAAAACAAGATAAAATTAATTTAGATATTAATATCAAATAATAATTGTTTAGAATGTTGGAATGAAATAATTTAATTTGATTTAATAAAATATTATCAGTATATATTCAACAGTTATATTGTCTTAAGAATAATATAAGAAATTTTGGATGCATATTTGCTAAATCTTAAAATTAATAAGAATCATAAATAAAGATTAAGAATTCTATATTCAATATGAATATGGGAAATTTAGGTTCAGCAATTATGGCTGAAAATATAAGAATTAATCTTGTAAATTTGAAATTATTAAATAATATTGCAAGCTATTAAGGAGGAGCCTTGTATTTTTCAAATAATAACAATTAATTTAAAATATCTCAAACAATTCTTTATAATAATAAAGTTAATAAGGAGGAGGAATTTACTTATCAGGTAATAGTAAATTAAATTAAGACAATTTTATAAAATCATGGATGAAACTGAATTCAGCAACTCTCTTACCTAATAATCTTTAAGAAATGCCAACTCATTTATCTTTATCAATTAATAATCTTGAGATGAAAACTATTTAGAAAAAGATATATAATAAAACATCAAATATTTTGTTTTTATAACCTTATCTTGTAATTGAATAAGGAAAGGTGTAATTAACTAAATTATTAATGTTACCAAGCAATTAAGAAATTATTAATGATAAAATATATAATCAATCATAACTTAAATTTGAGAATTATTTAGAAGAATTTTCAATATCTTATAAAAATAATCTTAATGAAATACTACCTAATTTTTCTAATTCTACATGTGAAATTTTTATGTAAACATTATTAAATGATACTCTGATTGATTCTGCAAATATTGCAAATATTGAATATCATTATGAATCAAAAAATTTTGACTTAAGATTTTTATCTATAACTGTTGATCCATACAAATAAAATTATCAAATCAATTAAATTTAGATTGCTTGCCACCTTAATGATTAATCTGACACTTTGTTATATTATATTGAAATTGAAGGTTTTATGTGCTAATTAGGGGAGTTTTATTTTTAATCAGGTTGTTAAATATGTTAACCAAGCTAAGGATATTATTCTGTAACATATTGTTAAAATAATTCTAAATTTATAAAATCTAATATAATTTACAAATAATACTTATTTTTAACAGTTTTTTAATACAAAGCTACAAAATGTTCCATTTTTTATTAACATAAATTTCAATCTATAACTTCAAATTAGATTTAACTCAAGAAGGGTTATTAGAGACCTAATTATTAATCTGATATGATTGAACAGTGTTTCAAATTTGTTGATTGTTGTGAAGGATGATGGGTTGTGTCAGATAATTTATGTTTAGTAGGACATATTGGAGGTTTGTGTGAAGAATGTGACATGTATGATATACGAGGACAAGGAAATTATTTTTAAATTAATTAAACAAATCTTGTTAAGATTGTAGAGATGCAATTAATAGTGTATTTCCTTTTGTTCTTACATCAATATGGTATTGTATAATAATATGATTTAATAGGGCCCTTATTTCAACTCTTCTAACTCTAAGAAGTATTGATAAGTCTAATAAATTATTTTCTTCTTTGAAAATAAGATAAAGATTTTTGAAGATTATATTTAAACTAAATCAAGGTAATATAATAATTATATATAGATCATGAGAGTATCCTACTTAAATTATTTCTTAATTATGTATAGATATTTTCAGTAATTTTTACTTTTAATTTTTAATTTTCATTTTCATTTTCATTCATTATTTAGACAAGTAACACATCATACTTTATGGCTAACAATTTAGATTGCTATTTATCAGAAATCTAATTGTTAATAATATGTATAGAGTTTAAGTTATAAGAAATTTAATAGCAGCATAATATCTACTACACTCTTGTACTTATATGTATCAAATTATGCTACATTGATTAAATAATAATTATTTTAGATTATTTTAATTATTGACTAAGAGAATTATATCTGATATAGAATATATATCGGGAGATGTATCGTTACTTTATAATTCACCAAGTCATTAAAAATGGATTATTGGCTTTGCTTTACCAGGATTAGGATTGATTGGATGTCTCATCCCATCTTCTCTCTTTCTACTCTTATACATCTAAAGAGACAAACTAGATAAGATAAAGTTTATAAGGCATATATGTTATCTATTCAATGAAATATAATGATGAAATTTACTTTTTGGAACGGATAAAATTATGGAAAAAACAGTGATTATCATTATTATGACATATTTTTAAACAAATATATTTGTAAAGGCCTCATTGCTTAGATTATGTTTACTGCTCTATTAATTATATGCTGTAAAATAAAAACCTCATATACTTAATAATTTAAATGAATTAGATGTATCAACAGGATAAATATGTTCCATTGCAACATTTTTAGCAACAATTAAATATATAAGTGAATTTTGTTATTTATTATTATGTTAAGAATTTTAATTTATTTTCTATAATAAGAGAATAAATCTACCTCTGTTGTTATCGAAATGATTTTAGTTTTACTCTGTTTGAAACTAAGTTATCCTTTTGTTATTGATTTATTAAGAGTTTATTATAAAAAATACAAAATTTTGCTGTTAAGTAATTTATATGATGCATTGAAAATAATAAATTGCAATTTAAGTCTAACTCTTTATATAAATAGAAAATTAAATTTAATGAAGTAACGAGAATAGAAATTAAAAACAAATTTAATAAAATTAGGAATTCATTTATTACAAATGTCAAAATTTAAATAGAATCATAAAAGTACTAACTAATATTCATATTATTAAGATCTCTCGTGAATTTATTAAATTCATAATCAACATCTAGGTTAGCAATGTTAGGTCTTGATTACAATGCATAAAAGATTATTAGATTAGATAAAAATTGAAATCAATATTTATGAATAATCTAATTTAAAAGTTCTTATTAATTTTAATGTATATATAATTTCTAAAATACAATGTTTTGAAATTTTAATATATAAGATAAATATAAAAGAAAGTTTAAGTATCATAATATGTAATAATCTAAATTTTGAATAAAGGTTAGATTTATTAATTTATGTTATTGTTAAACTATTGATTTACAAAAATATATTGTAAATATTAATAGAATAAGAAAATCATATTTTAAATATTTAATTTCTAAATTAGTGAATACTGAACCAGTTTAATTCTTTTCTCTTTTTAAAACCTAAATAATTCATTTAGCCTAATTTAGAAATTACTAAGTAATGCTCTTAAATTGATTTTTGAATAAATTTTTTAATTAGATTGTTTAATTTCTAAAAACACTTAAATATTGGTCAAAGCATTTTCTTAGAATTTAAATTATTACTATAATAAATGGCTTAAAATTAATGAAAATTCTTTTGCATACTAAGTTATGTAAAAAAATTATTCAGTATTATTTATCTTCAGTGATTATTCGATTGAAATGTTTAAACAAAAGTATTTTTTATAGAATTATATCATAATCAAATGAATATTATACCTATACTTTAGAGAGTAATAATTATAATAATGAATGACAATAATTATGAGATTGTAATATTTGCTATATTCCACACATGAAGTTTGTCTAACAAATAGCTTTCAATCTGAAAGTGCAATATTTCAATTCAAATATTTCTCAATTTTTTAGGCTTTTTTAAGGCTACTCTAATTTTATTTTTTTCATTTTTAATTTATTATTGTATAGTATTGGAATAAATCCATTTTTATCAAAAATTTCAACTTAATTTTGATTATGATAGATGCTAATTTAATTCAAATGATCAAAATATGATTTGAAATCCACTTTCATAATTCAAGTATTTGCCTTAGTTGTTTATCTTTTAATATATTAATTTAAAATAATATTAAATCAAAAAATCTCATAAAGAGATATATAGCTCAACCTCGTAGAAGGCTTGCTATGCTTAATAAATTTGATCTCAAATTAGTTAAAAATTACTGGATTTAAAATAGAATTTAAACAAAAATGGATAAACTTATTAGTGAGATAATCATCCATCCAATTAGATATTTCTATTCAAAATCTAATATCTGGCTATAATCATTGAGAGAAATTAAAACATTTTATAATGTCACACAAAATATGGAAAATTCAGGTACACCTATTTTGAATAGTGATATTTTATCTTTAAGGGATTTTCAAAAAGTAGAAATGTTTAATTTATAGAACAGGATATGCAACATAAAATAGTTTATAATAAAGACTTCTCGTAAAAATATAAATTTGAAAATATAAATGCTGCTTTTCTAATAATATTCCAATAACAATATTTTTTGGCATGTGAATTTTCAAAGTTAATTGAATGGTAGATTGCAAAGAAGTTACGTTGATAAATGGTATGTTTTAACAAGAGAGTATGCTTAGAATTACAATGAATATACACTTGAAGGAGAACAAAAATAAATATCAAATTAAATAAGGCTAATCCAAAATTAATTATTAAGATGTAATGATCGAAATTATAATTGCAAGTAATTTATAAAAGGCTTGCCATAAAAATGTCTAAGATGAATAAATCAACAATTGAAAATAAATTTGATTATAAATTTTGTTAATATAGGTCATTGTGATAATTTAATCGCAACTAAATTAATAAAGTGACAATGATGATTTAGGTAATTTGTTAAAGCTTTTATTAATAATGATCCTGATTTTTTTTTAAGCATAATTTTTATCTTCAACATTTTATTATTAATAACAAATTTTGTAAATATAAATTTTATGTGTTTATTGTGTTGTAGTAGATAATTTCTTCTGAAAGATCATCACTATAAAAAGAAGTTAAAGCATAACTTAAGATAGAAATCAATAGAAAATACAAAACACTTAAATATTTCATATAAATAGTGGGTTAACACCTTTTTCTGAAAATTTTGGAGAGCTTCAAAATAATAAGAATCTGTAGGTTTATTCAGTTCTATCAAATTTGGAATGGCAAAAATATCATCCCATTAGATTTATTTGAAAAATTATTTAACATTAAGAGGATAGTCAATATTATAAAAATAGAAATAATTTATCCAAGTTAGAATCTCCAAAATAGTCCAAAAAGGGTCTAATCCACCAAAGAAGATAGTAAGAGGTCCAATTAATTGTAGGATGAATGTGAATTAATTAGAAGCGCTGACTATTTATTAGGACTATTATTTTTAATTCCACATTGTAAAATATTAATTTTCTGGGTGTTATTACAATTTCTTTTATTTCATCTAAAAATAAAATAATGGTATCATTAACTGAATTAAATTAATCTCTGAAATAGTTTTAAGAAATTCAAAGTCAATTTAGCAACCGTATACTGATGTTTCATTTATTTAAAATTATGTTAAGTTGTATTCAAATTCAGGCGGTTCAAAGAAATTGATGTTGATTTCGATTAAAGTGCATATATTCAAAAAATTAATCTCACTTTTTATTACTAAATTATTATCAGAGCTTGAGTTGGTAAAACTAACATCAACTTTTTTTTCAGGAATCTTTAAATAAATATTTCTTGTACATTCATAACCTTTTTCAATTTCACGAAAAGAAGTGCAACCATCTTTATCTTATTTATTACCATAATGAGAATGCTTAATTATCTTAAATGTAATAATAATATAAATAATTTGAAATAAATTCAGAAAAATGAGAAAATTGATAAAGAAAAATTATGCATAATGAAAAATAATTATCAATAAAAAGAAGATTTACAACAACAGATTGAAGATGAAAAGCTAGTTTTAAATAAATTTAACAGAAAATAACTTGTTTAGAAGAAAACATGACTACTTTAATATCAGTGCTGAACTAATAAGTTTCAAAATAAGAATAATATTAATAAGAATTTTTACAATGAATTAATCAAGAAATTGTTACTAATAATTAATAAAGGACAATCTACTAGAATTATCGAATTCAAGTCAATAAAAACTATAATAGTTAGCACAAAATATGATGATTTAAATAAATAAATAGATGAAGCTTAGTAAGACATATATGGAATAAAAAATTCAACTGTACTTTAAGATAAATTATAATAATTAGAAAACAGTATCGATATAAAATAAAAAAAAATTCATGAGAGAATAGAAGAATTGAGCAGCAATATTGAAAAAAGGGCATTGAATAATGCTAAAAATTATAATAAGAAAAATAAGAATTATTAAAAAAAATTAATGAGGAAAAAGTTGCAACTAATTCATAAATTGAATAATAAAATAATAAATTCAAATAAATCTTCAAAGAAAATAAAGATGAATTTGATTGCAATTTATTTGCTTAAGCGATCTTAAAGCATATATGTAACTAAGATTATTATTTGAACTTAATTGTGGAAAAATGAAAATGGATTGATTTTTGTGGCTTCAAACCTCTGAAATCATAGTTTAATTAAGAAATGAGAAAGAGTTCAAATATTGATTCCTTTTTCAGTCACTGTTATTCTTTCATATTGAATGATTCAATAATTGGAACTTTTTTGAATCTTATATTTTGTATACACAAATCTTAGAAACTGATTAATCAAGAGAGTAAATTAGGAATTTTGCTGCTTTTAAGAAAAATAATATAAATAAAATTGATGGTTCAAGAGACACTTGAAAAAAATTATAGTTTAAATTACTTTTGTTTAAAGTTAAAATTAATATGGACGATTATCAAACTTATTTATAGAGTATCAAGGATTTTAAAACTATTTCCAAAATTCAATAAAATACTTTTTACAAAAGTCTAATCTATAAAATTGTTCCCAAGATTGCATCTGTTAAATTTAAGCGAAAATTTAACAGATGCATAAGAAATTCTGAATTGAATAACAAATTGCAGCTAGAGTACATGGAGATCTCAATCATATATCAGGGCTCATTCAACTATAAGGTTAGGTATACTAGGATACTATATGTACAATAATAAAAGAAATTGATTGTATTTTGCTAAGTAGTGTGGATTATTTTTGAGATGCTTTTGCGTTTATTGTCATTTGTAAGAATTTATTTATGAGGAGAATCAATGAAGTTTCAATCAAAATAGAAAATTAAAAATTTGTTTATGGAACCAAATAAATATAGAAGGGAAATTTTGTTCTTTAGATTAAGTTTCAATTGAATGTTTACTGATTATTATCTTTTTCCAAAATTATTTAAAGATGATATCTCCTAAAGAGATATGGTTTCTTTTAATAATGATAACTCAGATTATATTTTTTTTAAATTATACTATAACAAATAGTTTAGATTAAATGATATAATTAGAATGTTAGAATAATTTTACAAAGCAATTCTTGAATAAAATTAGAATTTTTAACAATGGAATCATGCTTTAAATTCTAAATCAAGATGATTTGATATACATACTTCCTTTCGATATCAATAATAATTTTCTTTGAAACCAAATTAAATCCAAAGTTTCACTTTTATTTATTCAACAGTTTTAAATCTTTATATATATTATTTTATCTTATAAATAAAAGGTATTGAGTTATTTTTGTGGAATTCTTTTAAGATTAATTGATGACTTTTTTTAAGATTCCAAACCTCTGCCTTTAGATGAAAAGTTAAAAAATCTATTAATCACACTTCAAAATGAGAAAAAAAACAATTTCAGTTTTATGTTAGTGAGTTATGAAATATATTATTTACAATTCAAATTGCCTACTCTTGAGAGAATAAGTTTTTACTTTTTTTGAAGTTATCATTGTCGACTTTCCAAAATTTGAAATGATGACATAAAGAAGTTTGAGGATAGGCACTAAAAACATGAAAGAATAAGAAGGTTGATATGTTGATTTAATCATCAATAATAATTGCTATTAACTCAACATATCAATCTTCTTATACCCCCTATTTTTGAAAATGAGATAGTATGAATCAGACAGGATGTAAGGAATTTCAATAATGGAATATTTATTTTGGGATATTATGTATGTAATTCAACTTAATAAATGAGTGAGAAATTTTATAATTTTTTCTTTAGAAAAACTTATTTTCCAACTGAAACTATTATAAAAGTAATAGAGATATTAGAAACTGTCTAAGAAGTCATAAATGATTTATCTGTGAGAAATCATCATTTTAAATAATTAGTATTAATTAGTAATTAAAAAGGAAATATTAAAAAATAATAATCTAATTAATAAAATTAGTTTTGAGTTAAACTGGAAATTATTATATTTAATATTTTTGATATTAGAGTTAGAAGATGGGTATTTAATAAATTAAACTTAGGGAATTTAGAAGATAAGGTTTAACAAAGATAATATAAATAAAATTATTAAAAGAATTATTTGAAACGATTTTATGATCAGAAGAAAACTCTACGATTAAAGTATATTTATCAAGAAGAATATATTGATGAAAGAGATTTAGGCATACAAAAGTGCAATATTCTAATGCTGCTGAGGGCATCAATAAAGGAAATAATAGCTACATATACATACCATATATTTAGAAAAAAAGATGAATTTCGGGAGAAATCTTAACTATAAATCGTTGGACTCTTATCAGGAAACACGGAGGATGTTAATTTAGAGATATATATGTTTCATATACAAATCAAGATGGCAGCATCAAAGATGCTAGAGGAAATGGTTGTTTTTGGAACCCTAAATACAAATAATCATTTTGAATTCAAGGATATTTATTAGGATGTACAAGATATTTTGTTGGGGTAAATCGAACGCCTAAGCTGTGAGAATGCATAGCTTATAAAATATGTAGTTCTTAGCAATATAAAATTAGTAGTGATAAGGATGAGAGCAATGTAACAATTATTTGTGGATGAAATAGATCTACATGTGTCAATAGGAGTTGCTAAACAGCTTAGGCTATACTAAATTTATGTACTGATCGTCTCCTTGGCATACTATTAACGCAACAAATAATGGTTGTGTATAAACACCTGATTTTGTGAAGGAATGACTTAAAATCAATGACATATTTGAGATTAAAAGAATTACAATATTTGTTCATGAATAAATGGTTTTTGCACTGCTACATATGTTGATGGATTTTTACACTTTGATAGCAAATATATATTCATTGAATCCAGAAATCTCTAAATGCATTCTATTTGGAAAAATTTTTTGTTAAGTAATCCTAACAATAATTCAAGCAGTTGAAACTAAGTCAAAACAGATTCTGGATATATTATAGGATAAACTTCAATTATGGTCGGGTTGCTTATGCTAAATTGATTATTATTTTTTTAAATTATAAAGAGTGATACCAAATATATCAAATTTTTTTCTTAAAATAATTTTAATTAAGTCCCCTTACCAGACATTAAAATCGTTGTATCTTCAAAATGTAAGTCCAAATTCTAAGTTTTCTAAATTAATATGCTTAAATTTTCCAATTAAGAAATCTAAATGAAAGGGTTATGACATAAAAATCAAATTATTAGTAATGGTTGCCTTTCATCATTTTTTCATGAATCAAAAATAAACTTATAAAAAATATTATATTGATATATAATAATAATAGCAGATTATTTAGTTTATTGTAATTTTTGGTTTAGCTTATATTTAAATAGTAATAATTTATCTTACCTTCTTATTTGTAAATTGTTATCTACACTCTTGAACCTATTTCATTTATTTAAAAATTGTACATTTTTCTCTGATATTATAAAAAGAGTGTTGATGTAATATAATTTATTAGTACAAATCTGAAAAAAAGTAATATTTTTCTTTATTAATTTATTTCTATGTTTGCCTTATCAATCATAGCCATTTTAATCAAGAATTCTTTATCATAATGGAGCAATTAAGTGACTTTATTATACTAAAATATCACTTTTACAAAATATGAAGGTGCCAATGCTACATTATATTCAAATAATTTTGTTAATTATGACAACATCTCTTAGACAGCAAATTTCATAACTTGCATAAATCCACCTATAAGCTATATCACTTTAAACTCAACTTATCCTAAAGTTAAAGAATATCATGTTGATAATAGATGTAGTAATACAAATTCTTATTGTTGGTATGAATATAATTATCAGACTTATAAATTAGGGGATTTTATTTCCTTTGATTTATTTTTTCAAGGTACATGGTCAAATGATTTGGTTGACTTTAAATTCGGAAATTTTACTTATTCATACATGTATACTTCACCAGTTGACTCATGGTAGAGCAATCATTTTTGTGATGGTTTATAATATGATGTGAAATAAGTCAACTTTTTTTTGCCAAATTTGATCTCTCAAAAATTAATCATATCATCATTGAATTATGGAAATGGTTAAGTTTCAATTAGAAATTTTAGATCATTAACTTATTCTTGTGATCCATTTTGTAAGACTTGTGTTGGAATTAAATAAAACTAATGTTCAAGCTGCTATTATGGAGATGCTACTAATGGTGTTTGTCCTCCTTGTCCATTTGGACATTACTTTTCATCAGGCTGTGTAATTATACCTAGATGTAATTTCATATTACCATTATGCGTCAAAACATCTTGTAAATTTTGCTAAAGTAAATCGTTTTTAATATATAGCATTTGGAATTTTTTCTGATTCAATACAAAACCTTACTGATTGGTATCTTCCTAATTTTTTACAGTGGACCATAATTTATGATCCATAGTTTATTGACTAATCTTTAACTTCATTATACCATAAAAATGTTTTTTTTTATGGCATTTTCAAGTATTCAACTGGAATTAGTAAATATGTAAATTTAGCTTCTACATCAAAAAAAAAGGGATATTATGTAGGAGTTTAGATTAATCTTTATATTTTCAATGATATTCCCTTGACTGTGGGATATCATTTAAATTTAACCTAACTTATTATGGATCAATCTATAGAAACAATTCAGGAATTTAATTACATAAATTTAAATATTTAGATATAAGACCTCTTGACCAGTATTCAACATATTCGACCTCAAATGAATATATTTTATATGGGTATTTTGACATTCCGCTTCAACCGATTTAGTTCACTGCAATAGGAAATTACACGTATGTATAGTTTTATACTAGTGAATAAGCATTTGGTTGGGGATTTAAATCTCTATAATTTTTCACTCATATTTGTACTTCAAATTGCTTAGAGTGTGATGTATCATTTAAGTGTAAGAAATGTGAATTAAATTACTATCTATATAAAGACGGTACTTGCATCTCTACGTGCAATTTTAAAGTTTATTAAAAGGTAATCACATTAGAATCTCAATAATATTGTTAAGACTTTAATGATTAAACTAGATGTATTCAAATAAACCTATAATAGACTCTGAAACCTTTGTAGAAGAACTGCAGAAATAATTCGATCTTAATTATTATAATTAGTACAATCTGATTTCATAAAATGGAGCAAATTTCTTAAAAGGTCCAGATACATACTTTTCATTTGTGTAAGGATATCCAATTTTAGGTGGTTAATATATATGGGCTTAAGCAAAATTTTAAAGAACCCATGAAAACATTGATCCTCATCATAGTATTTCAATTGCATTTACATTATTATATGGTCCTTATTTTCCATCAGATGGACAATTTATATTTACAATTGAATCTAATCCTCCATTAATAAAATCTGCTTCAAGCCTATCAAAGTAAAGTGATGGTACAATGATAGACAAAATATTTATAGAAAATTTCAGTCACTCTCAAAATACTCTTACTGTATTTTTAGAATGTTTTGGCCCAAATAATGATCCAATCTTTTCATACTGTGGCTTCTATAATTACATCGTTGTAGTACATTATTGCTAACCATATTGTTTGGATTGCTCTGATCAATATGATTGTTTATAATGGAATGCTACATATGATTCAAATCTTATTAAATTTTCATAAACAGAATGTTAGCCAAATTCATATTATGAATTCAGAACTTTCACATGTGTGCCTTGTAGTTATTCTTGTGTAGAATGTTTATCTTTTATTAATTGTACAGTATGTAAACCAACATATACGAATAGCTAATTGGGATGTATTTGTAAATAGAATTAGTATGAGGAGGCAAACTAATGCTTTGATTGTCCTATAGAATGTAAATAATGTTTAAATTCTTTATATTGTTTCGATTGCTCTAGAGATGATAATAGAATATTAGTAAATGGACAATGCTTATGTTAAAATGGATACTATTCTGTTATTTCTTAGGTTAAATGTTTGAGTTGTAATTAAATATGTGGAACCTGCAATGGCCAAACTATTAATGATTGCTTACTATGCAATCCTAATATTTCTAATATTGAGCTCATAGGATCTACTTGCAAATGTAAAATAGGTTATTTTTACGTAAATTCTCTCAACTAATGTGTTCAATGTCACTCATCATGTTTAGATTGTTTTGATTACAGCATAACTGGTTGTTTAAGTTGTGATTTCTTAAAGCATAGGATTTTAAAGGGTTTAAAATGTGAATGCGAACCAGGATATTATGAATAAAATACTGAATGCATAAGTAAATATTAAATTAAATATAGATTGCCCAATTCATGAAGATATCACTTTATCAAACTGTTATAATTTTTGTTAATTTGATTACATTTGGCATACTTAAAATTGTAATTAATGCAATTCAGGTTTTGAGTTGATTTAAAATGAATGCCTACCAATTTGTGGAGATTCTCTTATTACAGGTTATGAATAATGTGAAGATGGCAATAATAATATAGATGATTTATGTTTTAATTGTTAATTTTAATGTCCAAAACATTGTTTGACATGTAATTAATCAACAACCTTACCATGTCAAAATATTTGTGGAGATCAATTAGTAACTGGTTCTGAAGAGTGTGATGATGGTAATAATATCAAATACGATGGATGCTATAATTGTAGATTTTAATGTTAACCCTAATGCACATTGTGTGTAAAAGGAAAATGTTAAGTGTGTGAAACTATTGGATGGTAAATTGATCCTTCGTCTGATCCATGGATATGTAAAGAAGTCTGTGGAGATTTATATCCTATTGGTAATGAATAATGTGATGATGGCAATTTTAATGATTAAGATGGATGCAAAAATTGTAAATATTTTTGTAGGATTGGATGTACATTATGTGATTATAGAACTAGGACTTGTCTAAGTTGTGAATATCATGGATTTAAACCTAAAGAGTATTATTGCTTTCCTATTGAAAATGATGGTATTCTTGTCACTGATCCTTATGGATATGTTAGAGAAGTTTGCGATTCATAGTAAAGTAGTTCTTGTAGTCATGAGTAATGTTGTGTTTAATCAAATATCTATGGCTAAAATAGATGTTAACAATCGCAAATTTGTTTAAGTTGTGTAAATAATAAATGTGTAGATTGTGCAGAAGGATAAAATCTAATAAATGATTTTTGTTAACCTATATGCGGAGATTCTAGAAAAGTAGCTAATGAACATTGTGATGATGGTCTTATTTTACCTTATAAAGGATGTCAAAATTGTCTACCTAAATGTTAAGTTTCATGCTAAACTTGTGATAACTAAGGATTAGGATGTTTAGCTTGTAATTTTGGATATTAGATAATTGATAATTTATGTTATACAATTTGTGGAGATATGTTCATTACTTCAGATGAAGAATGTGATGATGGCAATTTGATTTAGTAAGATGGTTGTCATTTTTGCCAATTTAGTTGTCAAGATTTTTGTTTAAATTGTATAAATGGAAAATGTTATGAATGTAAAGAAGGTTATCTTTTGTTCTAGACATAATGTTTACCTATTCATTAGTATGCAAGCCAAAAATATCCAACAGAAAGGTATGAATTTTTAGTTGATAATTCTATTAACATTTAAGATACTTTTAATTTATGTTAAATATAATTAGAAAATATTATTCAAATGAATTAAATTTCTAATAGATTTTAATTTGAGTAAGTTAATCAATATTGTGAATTGACTCTATCGAGATTAATAGATTGCAATCAATTATTTTTGTTCTGCATTAATTGTAATTTCGACTAATGTTTAGAATGCTAAAGAGGTTATTATTTAAATTACCTATTTGAATGTATATCATAATGTGGGGATGAAATTCTTACAGAGAACGAAGAGTGTGAATTAAATTAGATTAACTGCATAAATTGTTTCTTTAAGAAGCCATAATTTTGTTTGCATTATTTTTCAGGAATCTGCCTAGAGTGTGACTATGGATATTATTTCAATACCATGATGAATTCTTGTGAATCTCTATGTGGTGATGGTATAATAGCATAAGATGAAGAGCGTGATGAAAATGGTGAATGCAAATATATATGTTCTAATGCATGTTTACATTGTTAAAAAGGTATCTGTTTTCAATGTTAATAAACATATTATCTTTTGGATAGTTAATGTTTTCCCGATGAAGAAATCGTCGAATATCCATCAGAAATATGGAATTGTTTGGAGTGTTTGGATATATTTGAAAAAAATTACCTCAAAGATGATATTGATTTTTGTGTAAATTAATGCGAATACAACCAGTAATTTAATTTAATTAAAAAAAATACTGATAATTCAAATTATAACTTTAATGAAAATCAATCTCATAATAACTCAATTCAATTTTATTCGATAGAATGTGGAAATGGAATAATTGAAGGATTTGAATAGTGTGATGATTAAAATCTGATTAATGATGATAATTGTAATAATCTTTGTGAACTTTCCTGTTATCCAAATTGTGAAATATGCATCAATGGATTTTGTGTTAAATGTGAGTTTGGATGGAAAATTGAAGATATTGGATGTGAATCTCTATGTGGGGATTCTCAAATTGTAGGTCTTGAGGAATGTGATGATGGTAATAATTACAATTTTGATGGTTGCTATGAATGTAAATATTCATGCACTCAAAATTGTTAAATTTGTGAAAGAGGTGACTGTATTGAATGTAATTAGGACTTTTTTATGGATGAATATAAATTATGTAGAGCAAAACAGGTCTAATTTAAATTTGGTGAATAAAAGGATTGTGCAGAGACTTCAGGTGGCTAATGTATCTCTTGTTTATATGGTTTTCTTGAACCTATTACTAGCATTTGTTTGGTAGATCTTAAGTTGGAGAATTATTGTTCGCAACATTGTATAGCATGTTTACTTTAAAAATGCTTAGAATGTGAAGATGGATACTATGGTAATGCTTGCAATGATTAAATTGAAAACCCTGAACAATATTTAAACAAAAACTATAAATGCAATAGCAATTGTCTATATTGTGTTAAAGGTTTATGTTAGTTATGTTAAGAAGGAAACTATTTGTTTAATAATGAATGTATCGTAGATAAAATCGATTAAATTATTTATCTGAAGCAGGAATCATTTTGTGGAGATGGAATAATCTAAGGGTTTGAATAATGTGATGATTTTAACAGTCTTCAATATGATGGTTGTTTTGCTTGCTAGATCTCCTGCGAAATCAATTGTTACTAATGCACTTTTGGAAAATGTTAAATGTGTAAATAGGGATATCTTTTGAGTTCTGATTCTAATTGCATTTCAAATTGTGGAGATGGTCTAATCCTCCCATACTCTAATGAATAATGTGATGATGGAAATACTTTAGAACATGATGGTTGCTATAACTGTAAATTTGAATGCTAGCCATATTGTGCTTATTGTAATGAACTATCATTAAAATATTGAAAATTAAATTCATTAATATTAAAAAACTGTAAATTTGAATACAACAATGTTTAAAATGTTAAGAAGGATTTTAATTTAAAAATGATAATTGTACACCTATTTGTGGAGATGGAATCACAATAATTGAGTTTGAAGAATGCGATGATGCTAATGATCAACCATATGATGGATGTTATAATTGTAAATATTAGTGTAGCGAAAATTGTGAAATTTGTTATCAAGGCTATTGTTAAGATGTAATTTGCTAATTAGGAATGGCATGGATGATTGACTCATGTTCACCTATTTGTGGTGATACTTTAGTTGTAGATATTGAAGAATGTGATGATGGTAATTCGAAAGAATTTGATGGATGCTTTAATTGCAGGTTTTCATGTATTGAGAATTGTAAAACCTGTGATAGAGGTTCTTGTTTAGATTGTAAATCGGGATTTTCATTAAAAGATGATAAATGTGTTGAAATCATGAGTTAAAAACATTATTTTGCAGATTACTAATCAATCATTTAGAATTCAAAAAATAATTGGATATGTCAAGATTAAGAATGTATTTTTTCTTTGAGTCCTAATCTGAAAATTGAATATCTGAATTAAACTTTTTCAAAATAATATATAAAAGTCTACTTTGATTAAGAGGTTAAATTAAAAGAAAATAATTAAACTCCCTAATCCTAACTATTCAATATCTAATTAAAAAATTTTCATAACTCAGCATATAAGACACAAATTTATCCAATTTAAGAAATTAAACATGATTTGTTAAACGTCAGTTATGAAATAGAGATTGAAAATTTAATAAGTTTTGATGAAAAACCTCTTTTATAAATTGATTTAATAAGTGACGTTATTAATAATAATAATCAATTGATTACCAAAAAGTAAATACAAATATAATTAAAATATTCTGAATTCTTATCAGATGAAAAAAAATAAATTTCTTTAAAAGCAATGACTTCAAATAGAGTTCTTATGATTGGAGCAATATCATTTAGTATAATATCTTTAATATCAGGAGAGTCTTCATTTTTTTTGGAGATCCTTGATGTTTTACAATATTAATCTTTTCTAAAATTTATTAATGTTGATTATCCAGAGAATTTGGCAATTTATTTTTCAGCTTCTGAAGCATTAGAAATTAGCTCTTATCTATAAATTATGCAAATTGATCAAATATTTAATATCATTACAAAAAAAGAGGAGAGCTCTGAAGTAGATGGAAAATTCAAATTTTATAATGTAGATCCAGATTTTTTTACTAACATTCTCCCTCAAGCCATTTAAACTCTTGTGTTATTAATAATTTTATTCTTAGGAAACAAATATTATTAATTGTTAGTACTCACTTTAAATTAAAAAAATATTACTAATATTCTTAGTCTTAATTTGAATGGTTTTAAATTAAGTATCATAAAAATATTCAATAAGATTAGAATATAGATAAAGGGATTAATTTGTATAAAATCCAATTTCAGTTCCACTCATGTCAGGCCTTTTATTTTAATAAATGCATGGGATTTACTATTAAAAGTTTTTATTTCTCTTCGTTACATTTAATTTGGTGGTGATATGAGAAATACAATTTAATATATTATAAGCTTGGCTTTATTATGTTTCTACCTTTATTTTATTTTATAATCGTTAAAATTTACATATGCTAATAAAAAAAGACTTAAAACAGAGTATTCATTTTAATCATTTGATTTAGGTAGGAAACTTTTATTTCATTTCTTTTTGGTTTGTTTTTAAGAGAATTAAATACTTTAAACCATTTTAATTTCTATGAACAGCTTTATTTAATGTATAATTATCATAAAATACTAATAAACTAATATCATTGATAAAATTATATCATTAGTTATTGAAGGTTCAGTAACATTATGTACTTTTACATCATTTGTATATTTTTAAATTTTTAGGGAATATTTTACAAGTTAGTAAATAATCTATACTGGTTTTATTCATATAGGGTTACTTCTCTCAAGTTTAGCTATCATGATTATGAAATAAGCAATAGTGAAATTGAAATAATTATTAAAAATGATTTTCAAAATTGAAAATCGTAATCAATAAAATCAAAATATGGTTATAATTTGATTATAATCTTGTAAAATAAGAAAAATTAAACTATCATTATTAAAATATTATTTTGTTAACAAATTATGTATTACAAAACTCTAATTATAATATAAAATTATCATATTCTTAAAATTATACAAAAAATTTATTACTTATTAATTAATTATCATCAGCCCACTTCAAAGAAAGTATTATATTTCTTCAGCATTAAATTGAAATTAAAGTTAAATATTTATTTTTAAATAAATTTGGAAGAATCGATTTAGTCTTTAAATCTATAATAAAAATATCATTATCAAAGTTTTTTTGTGATTTAGTATCACTTTTGAAAACTGTTGGAAATTTTTCTGTCATATAGAAATGATGATTATTAGAGTTTCCTTAGAATACTAGTCCTACCTCTGAAATTTTCTTTTACTTATTGAATCTCCTAACAATGGTTAAGTGTTTAATAAATTAAAAATTTTTCAAAATTGATTTTAAATTTATTATTTATTTTTATAATATTCATTCATTCCTAACAAGCACTTATATGAAGTATAAATTAACTCCTTAAATCGAATATTCCTCACACTATTCACAGTCAAGAGATCCTTCTATCTAGGGAAAGTAGGAACCTCAATTGAGTTATGATTGATTATCATCAAGAAGGAAAGAGCAGCTATCTATAAAGTGAATGCATATATGAATTAATAAAATTGGTTACCAAATTTTTCGAAAAGTCACTAACTTAGATATTTTCCAAAGAGAAACCTCTCTCATAGAAGGATTTGACTAGCACCAATAACTGAGGGCATTTATTAATTAATTAATTTAACATTACTTCTACTAATTGTTATAATACAAGGCTAGCTGCTTATTAGATATTGTTATCAATTAGCATTTCTAAAGAAGACATAACATTATCCTCAAACAGCTAGAACAGTTTTTAAGACCAATAAACTTAATTAATAAGCATGACATTAAACTGACTTTAATAATTCTTCTAAGGATCTGTAAATACTTTTATTTAGAACAACAAGAATGAAATTATTTCCCCATTCCATAAGGGAGAGGGTTCCTCAAATTATCCTATTCTTAATTAAGAGGATAACATGAAGATGCCAAAACTTTAAAGAACCCATTCTTATGAATTTATACCATCCTTTTCCTTATTTTATCAAATCAAACATAAGCTTTTAAAATAGGAGGATATGAAGATGAACTTATGTGAAAATTTTATATAGCTAAGTCACAGCTTATAAATCCTTTCTCAAGATAGTAGAAAATATTCTAATTAATTACTATTATCATTGATTCCACATTTTAGTTAAATATCTAAAGGTCCATTATTATTTAAAGAAGGGGAAACAAATCTTCCTTCCCAAGAGGTCCATCCTCCTATGAGCATCTAGGGCTCTTAGATCTCTTATTAAATGCTAATTAGGTCTAGATTCCTTTTAGGAGGTGAGAATTTTTAGTTCTTTTTTACAAGATTTGGAAAAATACAATAAAAATAATATTCATTAAATTTAATTTTTATTTTCTGATTTGATAAAAAAATTTCAAAACTCATTTTGAGAGACACCTATAAAGATTTACTGAAATATATTAAGGAGATATAATACTTATAATATTCATAATCATATTATTCTATTTGAAAGTAGAAAAAAATTTCATCCCATTTAAATAACAGCATCATTATTTATTAAAGAAAATATCTGTGTCACAAACATATATCAATAATTACATTTGATAAGATATGATAATGAAGACTATATAACCATTATTCTTAACTCTAGATTCTTAAAGTAAACTTAAAAATTTTTCAAAATCTTCAAGGTTATGAAAATTCTCTATGTTTTGCTTTTTATCATCTATATCAGTGAAATTAGTTTTAAAATATTTTCAAAATATAACTGCAGCGTGAAAATCTTTTGTAAATATTTTACACCATCGAAATAATAGTTTTCTACAATTGTCTAAAAATGATTTCCCACTCTCCTGTCTTGGCAATTAGGGATTCTAAAGGGTGAGCTTCTTTTTATCAATTATTTTTTGTATTGGTGGTTAATATAATAAATGAATTTTTAAACAATCAAGAAATTATATCAAAATTTTATAAATTTTCAGTTATATATGGTAATCCTCATAGTTTATATGCTGATATACTGAGACATTTATATTCAGAATCAGGAATTATTAAATTGATCTGAGAGAAATAAGAGCCTAATCAAATTGAATCATTATAACCTTTAATCATATATAAAGATTTATATATTTATGGCATTTTATAAATTAAGATACCTAATTTAAACATTATGAGGTTGTATTGAAAAAAGCGAATATATATCTTAATTCGTATAATTATTTTCTAGATCAATATTTAGATTCATAAACATTCCTGCAAATTATATTTTAATATAATTCAGGATTTTAGGTTGAAATAAAATATTCTCTAGATTAATTCCATCCTTATTAAATTAAAGCATAATTTAAAAGTAAATTTATTATTTATATTCTAAATTTATTCAATCAAAATAATTATCCTTTTATTAAAATATTACATTTATTAATAGGAGTATATATTAATTATTATTTTTTTTTATAAGATTAATATCAATGAAGAACGAAAATGTTTATGAACCATAGAAATAATTTAACAATTAGGACAACCATTTTAATCAGTTTAAACCGCAGCCTTAATAGATAATAAATTAATAAGTTTTTGTTAAAAATTAAACTTTTTATTGTTAATAAACTTCGATTTAACAAGAAAAGGCTTAAACATTTTTTTAATTAAGCTTCCCACCTTAAAATAATAATAATCAATTAAAATTTAAGCAAGTTGGAAATTAGTAATATTGGCTAAAAGATAAATAAATTGGTTTAGAGGGTATAATATCTGAGGGGAAAAATTGCTAAACAGGTGAAATTGTTGTTATTAAGACTTATAACACTATGTCTAATACTGAAATTGAATTATTATAATAGCTAAAATTAACTGAATTATAGCATGTTATTCGAATCAAAGATTTCATAGTTTAATAAAATGAATAAATATTAGTAATGGAATAAGGGAAAGGCGGATTGGATGAACTTATTTAAGAGGAAGTCTTTAAGAAAATGAGTAATCAAGAGAAAAATTAGTTATTCCTTTAAGTATTATATCAAATTTATGATTTATAGATACTATTAGGAGTCAATGAATTAAATAAAATGGGTTATTTTCATCGAGATCTTAAACCATAAAATATTATTTATTTTGAGAATTCAAATAAAAAAATAAGATTAAAGTTGATAGACTTTGGATAAATTAAGAAGTTGGGAGCTACTAATTCTATTTAGAAAGGAACTATGTCGTATATGGCTCCAGAAGTTGCTTTAATGTCTGATAATTATTAATACGATCAAAAAAGCGACATTTGGTCTCTGGGAATTATTTGGTTTGAAATGATTACAGGTTTTACAATGTTATAAGGTAATATTTATAAATTGATATTAATTAGTTAAAGGAGATAAAAAATTTATTTAAAAATTAAAATCTCTTACCCAAAATGATATAGACAAAATAATTGATAATAATCCTTATATTTAAGATTTTGAAAAAGGACTAATTAAAAAAATTTTAGTTAAAGATCCCAATTATCGAATCGAAATTTTAAAAATTATAGAAGATTTAATTAACAAGAATCAATTACTTGAAAAAGAAAGTGAGCTATAGCTTTTAATAAGAGAATCTGAAGAAAAATTTAATCAATTAAAAAATATTGTCTAAAAAATAAATCACAATTTTCCAGACTATGAATCTTATAAATAAATTTCAAGCAAGAAAATTGAGATTTAATTATAGATAGAAGAATAAATTAAGAATTTAAAATAATTAAAAACTTATGCTGAAAAAGATAAAGAATTATTTCTTTAATCAATAAAAGAGAATGAATAGAAAATAGGAGGTTAGATGAAATAAGAATTAATAGCAAAGCTCTAATCTAAACTAAATCAATTAGAAGAAAATGATAAAGAATTAAATTCAATTATTAAATTTGTAAATAATTAATATCTAAAAAATCAAATTTATGAATTATAGAATAACGAAATAGTTTTTCAAAATATAAAAGTATTAAATGAAAATATAGAAAAATTTTAGAATACAATTAATTCGATTAAATTGAAATTAAATTAAACTGATATAATGTAATAGATAGAAAAGACAAAAGAACTCAATCTATAAATTGAATAATCGCTTCAAATAAATCAAAAATTGAATCAATTTGAAAAGATTAAATAGGATTATAATTAGAACTTTAGTTAATATAAATTTTTGCTTGCATCGACAATTTATATTCTATTATATCATTTGACTAAAATTTTTTAAAGAATAAAACATGATTACTCTAGATAAAAAAATAACTAATCTTAGATATCAATAATTAAAAGGGGATAAAATGAATAAGAATACATTAAAAAATATCAGGAAGCTTAATAACTTAAAGAAATATATGAAAAATAAATTACTAAAGAATAATGTGAAATGCCTCCAGAGGAGATGGAAGATCATAAAAAAAGCATCACAATGTAGATTGATTAACTAGAGAAAAATATAAAAATAAAGAATTTAGTTAAGTTAAGACCATGTATAAAAAACTAATAATTCATTAAATTTAGAATTGAACCATTCTTTGAAAGCAAAGAATTTAGAACTATGAGCTTTTTTGATGATATTCTATTGCAAGGGAGAACCCATGCTCAAACTGAAGGACATATAGATTTTTTATGAAATTATTCTAATGAAATATAGATATATCTGTTCATAAATATTATTTTATTTATTATTAAAAACTAAAATAAAATTTCAGTTATGTGTGATGATTAAATAACTCATAATTAATTTATTCCTTTTAATTATCTAATTTAAATCTCTTCTGATTTGTAATCCCATGTTACTAAATATTCTCCATTTTCATTTATTGATCCATAAAGTTATCCCCAACCATCTGTTGTTCCAAAATCAATTACTTATTATAAAAAAAATTATGTATCTATCTATTCATCATCATTACTAAGAATCCTGAAAATATTGATTTTACAGCCATTCTTAATTATTAAAAGGCATTTTTCATTAATATAAGTTGATTGAAAATATGGTTTACAATAATACTCACCACCTTCTACTTTGATTTATTTTGTCTAAATAAATTTTTGGTTTTTATCTTTTTCATATATATGCAATAAATTTTCACGCATAGGTTGAAAACAGAAAAGATTGTTCCCTATGAAACAAACTCTATAACCTAATTCTTAAACTTGAATCTTCTATTTCACAATCCAAATTTATGAATTTTATTCTATAACTAATATTATCATATCTTCCCCATTTGATATTAAAGTATCTTCAGATTAATTAATTGATAATGCCCAAATCTCAGATGTATGATTGTGAATGGTTTAAGAGCAAGACCATTATTTATTAGAAGTTTAAGTGGAATTACTCCAAAATTTGATTGAACAATCTGAACTACCTGAGATGATGTATTCTGTGTTTTCCAAAACTACTAAGCAATTGATCGTATTCTCATGTCCATATAATCTCTAATAACAACTCCAAGAAGGATTTTATAATGATGAACCTAATTATGTCCAGATTATGATTGTTTTATCATCTGATGCTGATATGAGAAATTAATTCTATTTAGATTTACATATTTTCAGGTCAGTTATATAATTAGTATGATGATTTAGAATTACTATTTGCTTTAGATATTCTTAATCGAATCCAAAAACTTTTATTGATGATTTAAACCCAATGAAAAGTAGAGAGCAATCATCATTAATAGCAATAGCTTAACACCATTCTCGCTATTTTTTGGATGCAATTTTTACGAACTAAATTTAACTTTAAGTATAATTATTCTTTTGTTAATGCATAAATTAAAAAATAATCAGAAATAGAACTATTTAATAAGTAAATATACTCTTTAGCAATATTATTAATTTTACAAAGATAGCCTTAATGATCCTAAATGATTATGGATATCAATAGTAATTATTCTATTAAGATTAATTTACTAAATTAGTTTAATGTTTATGTTATGAGATTGAAATTTGATGAAATTTTATCTTTTGATTCATTTTAAAATAGATAATAAATTATAAAATTATAGATCCTCATTAAAAGAAAAATTTATAAATTAATATTAGAAATATTAACTCAAATAGTAAAATTGATATTAAAAATGCAATAATAATTATAATAATTTTATGAAAATCTTATTAATTTATTTTGAGGATACAATTAATTTATATATTATTGTAACAAATGTAGTTTACTTTAGCAATATCTTTAACAATTGATAATATTTCAAAATTTCATTATTAAATTAAATTTTCTAAGACTTAATGACACCTTTAAGCAATTAAAATAATTTATATGAAGTAGACTTTGAAAAATACTATAGCTGTTTAATTATCTTTTTGAATTGAAAAAATGAAATTATATTTTTGACAATTTAGATACATCTGAAATTCTTCTATAAAGAAAGCAAGTAAATCTATTAAATTATATAATATTGTTTAAATATTTTAAATAGATGAGAGGGCATAGTCTATTTAGGAAAATAGAAACAGATAAATTAGTTACTAAAAATAAAGACTGAAAAGTGTATTTAAATGAATTCAAATTTATCTAATATTCAAATAAACAGCTAATGATAATATTTAGAGTATTAACAATCAATAGGATAAATTTGGTTATTATTTAAAATAAAATGCATTTTTGTACAGAACATCATTAATAACCATTTAATTTGATATGCGTAGCTCAACATTACTGCTAAAGAAAACTTTGTTAAGAATGTTAACATGAGCATGGTGTTGACTCAAAATAAATACTTTCAATTCATAAGTTCCAAGATAAATTAAAGAAAAGAGTTGAAAAATTTAATTTAATTACTCAGATTTCTCAACAAAATTACACTTCACTTCATTTAAACTTCAAGTCTCTACTTGTATAATCTGAAGAGATGATAAAAAACATGTATCAAAATCTAACTTAATCGATTAATAAAATATTTGATATGGTAGAATAAGAAGATTAATATTATCATAATCTTTTAAGCCAATTCACTAATCCTTTAGAATTATCTTATATTGACATTAATAAATTAGTTTAAATATTAAAGGAGAAAACATTAGAAAATTGGAATAGTTAAAAGGAATAATATTTATCTTAATTAAACAAAGTTAGATAATGGTTAGATATTGAAATGAGTAATTTTGTTGGAAAATTTAATCGAGATTTAATAAAAGATGTAGAATCCATAGTAAAGTATAATTATTATTCAGAATTATTTAGAATAGAAAAAATAGAATTAACAGATGATTATTATTGGTAGGAGGGTATCAAAGAGTATGAATGTTAGCAATATACTAAAACTCCAAACAATGACTTGATAGCAGTGAAGGCTAAATTTACTGTTACAAAAACAAAAAATAAAGAAATTATTTACTCATCTTATGGGATGAGTCAAAGAATGTAAGACTTAGATTATTTTAATATATACTTTAGTGAGTAAATAAAAGAAATTTCAAATAAAAAGCCCGAGTTATTAAGGAATTTAGATTAAATAAAGCATCTATAATGGGTAGGAGAGTATGGAAGCAATCATAAAAAAGTTGGAAAGTGGATAGTAACATGGAAGGGTCAATCTCTATATGGTGTTGGAGGATTATATTCTGATGATGGTAAGAAGTAAGGGAAATGGAAAGAATTAATACCAAATTATTGTGAGTATTAAATAATTAATAATTTTAATAGTGAAGCTTAAGTTTATGAATTTGGAGAATATGTAAATGATGAGAGAAATGGTATATGGAAGTATATTTTATCAACAACAGAAATGTATTTTTCATTTTTAATAATTTCTACAATAGTGGTGGCGGTTTGTACCTAGAAAATGGTAAAAAAAACGGATAATGGATTGAATTGAGTGATAATTTTTGGAGGTAAATAATAATTTTATTTTTTCATTAAAAATAACTAGCCTAAGTTAAGTCACTTATCATGGTCAATATTAAAATGGCAATAAACTTGGTAAATGGGAAATCAATTATCATAATGAAATAATGTATATATATATGTGATATTGATAATTAGTGGGGGAGGTTCATATCTAGAAAATTGTTATAAGAATGGTTATTGGGAAGAATAGAATGATAATTTTTTTTGGTATTAAATTATAAATATTCTTAAGCGATTGCTAAGTTACTTATAATGGTATTTATAAAAAGGGGATTAAAATTGGTAAATGGAATACTAATTATAGATATAATTCAGATTAATAATTTGAATAAATGTAAAATTAAATAAAATATAACTAAGCGGTGGTGGAAATTATGATGATCATGGTATAAAAAATGGTAAGTGGACAGAATTAAGTGAAAAATTTTGGAAGTATTATATTAATATATATATTCAAAATCATTAGTTTAAATTAAGTTATTTATCATGGTAATTATCACATTGGTAAAAAATATGGTAAATGGGAGGAATTGGAAAGAAATAAGTGGATGAAACATGAAGGATTTAAAAAAATGTAAAATAAATTTATGAGTATTAATAGTGGAGAATAAAAGTATGAAGATTAATGTGTTATTTTTTGAGGATAACTGTATTTTATGATTTTACATAAATTAAATAATTATAATAATCTGATAAATATAATTTAATTATCATACTAATTTTTACAATCAATTAAAATTTATACTAAGTAGCAGAATCAAGAAATTTTATTGATTAATGTAGAGTAGATTCAAAATTATTAGAAAATATTATTAAATAAATAAATTGACAATTTTAAACAACTAAAATGGAGAAAATTATTATGGAAATTCTCTACATATTTGGATCCAGTTTAAATTGTCAGCTAAAAAACTTTAAAAATATTCTTTCTCCTTTTATGGAAATGATTCTTAAATAATTCAGATTAAAGAAAGATTTGCTTTAATAATTTGGTTGATTTAATAATCCAATCGAAATTACAAATATCATTATTGTAAGTTAAGAAATCTATTTATAATTTTATACTTTATATAAAGACGAATTGCTAATGTTAACAGGAGTTAAATCTTTAGGTTAAAATGAATACCTTAATATTTATTTAATCATTTATATTGAAGAATAATAAAACAATAAGTGATATTTTATGGAATTTATGTA